TCCACGGGAACTCAAGGAGCGGGAGCCTGAAGCAGCAGGATATGTCCTAATCCCAGCATGAACCGCCCTAAACCTGGAGCCACCCTAATCTCTGAGCAGGGTCACCTTTCAAAGCAAAATGCCATGCCTCATTCCTACTTGGCTATGGATGTCAGCAAAGGTGGTCAGATAGAATAATAAAGAAAATCATTTTAAAGATTCATGTTAAGAACTATAGACAGACTGATTTCTTTTTAAGAAACAGTTTCTTGTGACACTTTCAGCTCACTGGAGGGGAGCTTTCCCTTCCCAATGAAGCCATTGTGAACACAGTGCTGGTGAAGTCTATTTTTTTTTTAATCATTCTCTTTTTACTCTAAAATCTGGTATTTCAGGGTTGTACCTGGTTTCCTAGTTCTCTGGGTTGCCTTGCACCACTTTCCCACAGCCTTCCTAACTCATACCGCTGTAGAATTAATGTTTTGATTCAGTTTCAGATAGCAGCTACTAGGTGATCGGTTTCTCAAGACTGCCAGTATCCTTTTCTCATTAATGTCCTTTTTCTCTTCCAGCATCCAATCTGGGATCCTACATTGCATCTAGTTATCATTGTTTTCTTGAAAATTTTGAAGGTTGTATTAATTGCTTTGTGCTATGCTTCTTAGTTTGGGTTGGAGGATGTTGTCTTACAATGAGATTGAGTCTCCGCATTTTTGACAAGGTTCATATAGAAATCATGTTGTGCCCTTTTCATGCTTCACATCAGCGATTACATGATATGAATACATTAATTACTGAGGATATAAACTATGATTACTTGTTTAAGGTAGTTTCTGTTGGGTTTCTTTACTAAAAGTCACTGTTTCTTTTCCCTTGTCACTAAGTAAATATCTTAGATGAGATCCTTAGACTGTGCAGTATTCTATTTCTCAAACTTTTACCCTCTGATTTTAGAATCTATTCATGTACTGGCAGTAATTATTGTTTTATGTTTGTTAATGGTGATTTTCTATTTTCTTTGTCTATTTTACATTTATTATTTCTTCTGTAGGGAAGAGTTGTACCTTCTATGTATTTGATTATATCTGTGGACATATTTAATAAATGAAATTCATATGGCAATACTTAGAAACTTCTGGAGAGGAATATTGATATTTATCTTGTCAACATTTTTTTTGAAAGGAAGAAAATTATATTGAAATATTGTATCATTTGTTTAACTTAATGAAAACTCAAGAGAGCCTGCTGTTTTCAGTTTCTTTTGTATGTGGTAGACACATATGCTTGGATATAGGATGAATTACATTACTATAATAATATCATAGGTTTTTCTATTCTATCAAACTCCTTTATTTTGAATTTAAAAGGCACTTAATATGTATTTTGATAAGCCATATATCAGCACTTACTAGCTTTAATAAGCAGTTTTGTTAGTAAAAACTTAAAACTTGAAAACTATTGCATATAATTTGTGGTAGGACCACGTGTCCTATTGTTCTTTGTGGGAAAGTGTTCTTTTTTAATTTTTCCAAACATAAAATAATAATTACTCATATATTAAGATTTCTCATTTTTTCCCCTATCTACCTGTCCTTTTTTGTTTAACTTTTTAGCCTGTTTTTGTATCCTTCTCAAATTGAATTGGTTGACATTCTGTGCTATCTCTAAGTGTACATTAATTGTGTTCTAATATAATTATATTGTGTGATTACAACTTAGTAACTTGATTTATCACTGTTTTAACTCAGATATACCAAAGAAAAGTATTTCCTCACAGTGAACTAGTCAGTTTAACTGCCATTAGCACTTTAATACAGCATCACTTTCAGGCCTTTTTTATGTATATACAGTCAGCCCTCCAGAGCCTTGGATTTTTGCACCTGAGGATTTAACCAATCACAGATCAAATGTGTTCACAAAAAGAAAACTCTCTGTTCTAACCATGAACAGACTTTTGTCTTATTGTTATTCCATAAACATCACAGTATCACTAATTTTATAGCATTTACAGTGTATTAGAGATGATAAATAATCTAGTGATGATTTAACATGTACAGGAAGGGCTGGGGCTAGGGCTATAGCTCAGTGGTATAGCACTTGTCTAGCATATGTGAGACACTGGGTTTGATCCTTAGTACCACATAAAAGTAAACAAATAAAGACATGCTGTCCACCTACAATTACAAAAATAAATAAATAAATAAACAAATAACCATATAGGGGGCTGGGGTTGTAACTCAGTGGTAGAGCACTTGCGTCACGTGCGTGAGGCACTGGGTAGTACAATCCCCAGCACCACGTAAAAATAAATAAATAAAATGAAATTTTTTTTTTCATCTACAACTAAAAAAGAATATTTAAAAAAAAAGTGTATAGGAAGATGTGCATAGATTCTATGCAGATACTCTACATCATTTCCTGTTAGGTGACTTGAATATTTACAGGTTTCAATATCTGTAACGGGTCCTAGAACCAGTCTCCCATAGATACCAAGAGAGGATTGTATGCCCATGTTTTAAATATTATGTACTCTGTTCTGTGTAATTCGTTTTTAAATAGATCCGGCCAGAAAAGTTATTATATACATATTTGAGTAAAATTATGTGTGGCTTTCAAAGTTTAGTAAAATCTGTTTGTAAGGAAAGGGCTTTCCATTGTATTGTATTGAATTTAGTAAGGGAAAAAAGAAATAAATTGTGGGAAAGAGCATGGTCTTTTGTGTGTGTGTGTGTGTGTGTATGTGTGTGTGTGTGTGTTATTGTCATATCCTTTTGTTTTGAGAACTGGGAATTGAACTCAGGGACATTCAACCACATCCCCAGTCCTATTTTGTATTTTACTTAAAGACAGGGTCTCACTGAGTTGCTTAGTGCCTCTTTGTTCCTTGCTCAGGCTGGCTTTAACTTTTGTTCTTCCTGCTTTAGCCTCCTGAGCCCCTGAAATTATAGGCGTACACTACTGCACCAGCTTTATTTTGTTTTTGAGACAAAGTCTGTGTTTCCCAGTCTGTTCCTGAACTCCTGGATTCAAGTGATTCTCTTGCCTCAGTCTTTTGAGTAGCTTCAATTAAATTATTAGCCCCCTCACTCTGAAGGGGTAACCATATGTTAATACTACTCTACCATAAGTTAAGTTTTGCATGTAATTAGTTATGTTCTAGGTGACTCTGTTGATATATTTTTTAAAATGCCACATTATAGCTCATTAATAATCAACTTGTATAGAAAATTCTTTTTATATTTAGGCAACCAACAAAGTAAGTTAGCACACATGGAAATTATTAACATTTGGATGACTGGAGTGTTTTTATAGTAACCTTAGGTTTTTGGAGAGAAAAAGAAGTATCTTTCAATTTTTCTCCATGACTAGAGGCTAAAGGATAGTTCTAAATCTATGCACAAATCATCTCACTGTAGCAAAAGTTAAGCGATTTTTGGAGATGATCTACTAACCTCTCCACAGCCCCCTACCTCCATAATTTCAACTTTTTAATATGTCTTGGTTTTTCTTTTCTCATGTGGTTTATTAATATAGTAGCATTTGTCTACCCTTGTGCAATTTTTAGATGCTGGGGAAGTGTGTCTAAAACATGATTTCTGTTTTTTCAGAGCTAACAATATATAGGGAGTAACAAGTACAGATAAATAATAATAAAATGAGTACAGATAAAGTGCTGTGGAAACTCCAGTGATTGCTTTATTGTTCCTAGGATGGGACAGAGGCAGTTCCTTAGCAAATAAAAATTTGAATTCACTGGATAAATTGGGTAGCCTTTGCTTGTGAAGAGAATAGCATATAAAATAGGGTAAACTAGAAAACACCCTGAGAAATACACTTCTTTGAAAGATAAAGTTTGGAAATAAGACTGAAACATTAACATGAACTTTTGCTTACCAGAAGATGGTATTTAGTCAAGGTTTTTTTTCTTCAGCTGCTAGAATCATGGTAAAATTTTTAGTATTAGAATAACAAAGTCACATTTTTTGTGGTAGAAAACTTTCACAATAGTGGAGAATGATCTGAATGAAGGGAGCAAAATTGGAGTCAGGAAGATAAGATTAGACAAGTTAAACATCTGAAATGTAGAAGCAGTGAAGCTGGAAAGGAGATTGAATTTAAGAGCTATTAGAAACTAGAATTCTCTTCAAAGTGAAGAAAGTAAGACAAGGAATAGTCCATTCTGATACCATTGTCTATGAATATGAAGGTGCAGAGGCTAAGAGAGTGATAATCACTTAGTGAAATTCTGTATGACTGCAATAAACAAGAATAATTACAGAGGTTTCTTAATAGAATTTATCTTAAAAATATTTTTTAGTTGTAGATGGACACAGTACCTTTATTTATTTATCTTTGTGTGTTGCTGAGGATCAAACCTAGGACGCCACACATGCTAGGCGAGTGTTCTACCACTGAGCCACAACCCCAGCCCCTTTTAATAGAACTTTATATCAAGCAAAATATTAGATAATGTTGATTTTTATGTGTATGTAATCTCTTTTTGTAAAAAGAACAAGATAGAAGAGGATATTAAAGATAAGTATTTAACCAAGTTGGGATTATCCAAGTAGGACATTTAAATTTACATTGAAAGATAAGGAGGAAAATTCTCTTTTGTACTTCTTGAACTTAAACATTAGCTTGAGCATTAGATTGGCTTTATCTTAATGAATGTACCTAATGTTTGAATTCAGATTTTTTTTTCTCATTTATTAATCCAAGAAGTATAACTAATCTGCTTCGGAGGGTAGGAGGATATGTGTGTAGTTCAGTGTAAAAAGTGCTTTTAAGTGCCTTAGTGACGAGAATAATTTGAAGTAGTCTGCAGTGTAGAAATCCTGCTGAGGAATGAAAAGGTTGAAACTTAGTTTTAAAGTTTAGGTTATTCTTTATCATACATGTTGAAATGCTATTTAACTAAACTTAAATATTGAGAATATTAAAACTAAAGTTTTTTCATAGTAAACATCATGAGGAATTTATTAAATTTAATTTCAGTGCTTTTTTTCTCCTTCCTTTAGAACGTGTAATGAAGAAAACAGAAGAGTCTGAATCACAAGTAGAACCTGAAATTAAGAGAAAAGTCCAACAGAAACGGCACTGTAGTACATACCAGTCTACTTCTCTGTCTCCTGCTTCAAAAAAATGTTTAACCCATTTAGAGGTGGGTAGAGAAATGATTCTTTGTTATGATTCAGATGGTATTTTTATTAATATCATTTTTAGTGCTCAATAAATTCTAGGTGATCTTTTATCACAGGACCAAAGAGACTAGCAAAGTTATTTTAGCAAATCTTTTTGTCTTCGATAGATAATTTTTTTTCCCTGTTCAAAATAATAGAATATTCTTTCCTCAAATGAATTTATCAGTAAAACATTATAAATAATTGTTCTCAAGGAAACATTTTTTTCAATTATTTTAAATTTATAGAAAAATTGGGGGCAAAAATTAATGGGAAGGGTTTCTACATATTCATTTCCCAGTTTTCCACATTTGTTTGTTGTCCTCCTTCCCTGTGTCTTCCTCCATCCTTCTTTCTCCCATATTCATTTATTTGTTTATACACGTATACACATATTGTTTGAGTATAACGTAGGCATGTTGCCCATTTACTACTTAATACCTTAGAGTGTGTTTTTTTTTTCCCCTAAAGGATATGTGAGACATTCTCTATAATCAGTGTATAACTTGCAAAATTAAAAAATGCAAAATTACCATCTGTTCCCTAGATCCCATTTATATTTCATCTAAATAATGTCCTTTATAGGTATAAGATCTAATTCAAAATAATGTTATTCTTTCAATCTGAAATAATTCTTGTCCTTTATAATCTTGATATTTGTGAGGAGTATAGGCCACTTACTTTATACTTGAAAGTCGATTAACCTGATGTTTCTTCATAATTTGTGTCTTTTCTTTTATGATGTGAATAATGTACACAAAAAAAAACCCTCACTATAATCATTTCATAGCACATCAGGAGACTCATGATGTTCATCATTGTTCACATCAATGATAATATTAACTTTTACCTTAGTTAAGATTTTTCTTATTTATTTATATAGGCATAGATATATGTCATTCTTACTTTAAAGTTATAGTGTTTAACTGTTGTTACTTATTTTTATGCTTAAATTGTTCCAGATTTGGTCCATATTGTCTCTTCAAGCTGATGGTTGTCTTTTTTTTTTTTTTTTATTGATTGTTCAAAACATTACAGAGCTCATGATATATCATCTTTCATACATTTGACTCAATTGGGTTTTGAACTCCCATTTCTACCCCAAATACAGATTGCAGAATCACATCTGTTACATACTCACATTTTTACATAATGGCATATTAGTAACTATTGTATTCTGCTACCTTTCCTATCCCCTACTATCCCCCCTCCCCTCCCCTCCCATCTTCCCTCTCTACCTCCTCTGCTGTTGTTCAATTCTCAAGGAAGAGCATGGCTGTCTTTTGACATAAACCCATCATTCTTTGAGCACTTCTTTCTTTTTGGTATAACAGGATGATCTGGGCGACCTTGTTTTTTCTCTCAGTCTTAGAGTCATACATTTTCCCAAGGAGCCTTTTTTCTTTTAAGTAGGGGGAAGCTATTGGTATACAAGTTAATGCTCATTGATATTGAGTGTAAGTTTGTAGGCCCTTTCAGTAGACAAAGCTTGGAAATATATGTTGATGTACATATTAATATTTAATAACAATATTTAGTAAACAATAAAATCTGTGAGTTCACATTGGTAACCAAATCTTGGTTTAGCTGTTCCCATTTTACGTAATAACAACTTTCTTTGACAGTGAGAAACCTGAGTCCCATCCCTAATGTATTTACTTATTTGTTCACTTTGCTTTATCTCTCTCTATCCCAGTCTTCCTGGCTTGCAGCCTAGGCTTGTTTCAGGCCCTGCTGGCTTAGCCATTGCTTAGCCCAGGTAAAGGAGAAAAGCGCCTCAAAACAACGTCCTTCCTCTGGTGAACAATCCAGCCGAAACCTTAAAATCTGTTTTAATTTTTAAAATAAATCTTCCTTCTTTTACTATTACTTCATTGCTAATTTTTCTTATTTTCTTAGTGTAAATTAAGAGTTATAGCCAGTCTCTATGTAATCTTTAAATTTGTAAAAAGGTTGGAGGCTTTTCTTTTTTGTTTATAATATACGAAACTTCATACTATGTGTTGTTTATAAGAAAATAGGATCTATGTATTGAATGGAATTAAACATCTTTAGGGTATGTAATCAAAATAACATTGTCTCAGTGATGTCTCATCAGAGAAAGAAAGGCTCATTCTTATTAAGTACACTTTTTGTATAGAGACTTGATGATAGTATGTGATGTGTAATTTATAAGTTTTTGTTTTGTTTTGTTGTGGTTGGTGCTAGGGATCAAATTCAGAGCCTCAAGTATGCTCCCAGCCCTTTAATTTGAAATTACTTGGTTTCATAAAAGTTTTTCACTGACCAAAAGGAAGGAAATGAGATTCTAATAAAAAATTTAAGGTTTTTTTTTTAAAAAAGAGATCATAGTTTTTATGAAAATTTAATACTTTTTCCTAAAATTAAGTGGCACTGAGTCTCTAGGTTTTAGATCAGTTGGTTGATAAAATTATTAATCTACAATTTTTAACTTGAAAAATTTAGTATCTAATACAGTTGAGATGATTTGCATTTTGTTCCTAATTACTGCAAAGAGTTCCAAGATAACGTATTTTTTAACAGATGAAAGTGTATGGTAAACCAGGCACTGTGGCACATACCTGTAATCCCAGTGGCTCTGGAGGTTAGGGCAGGAGGATAGTTAATTCAAAAGTCAGTTTCAGCAACTTAGTAAGGCCTTAAGTGAGACCCTAACTCTAACTAAAATATAAAATAGGGCTGGGAATGTTGCTCAGTGGTTAAGCGCCCCTCCCAAAAGTGTTTGCTATAGGATATATTTCCTTCTATATCTTAGTTCTGAGTGTTTTAATTGGGATGTACTTTTCTACATTAATGAGCTACATCCCTAACCCCCTCAGGTTTTTTTTTTTTTTTTTTTTTTTTTTTTTTTTTGGTGCTGGAGATTGAACCCAGGACCTTGTGCATTCTAGGCAAGTACTCTACCAACTGAGCTATATCTCTAGTACCACCCCCCACTCCCTGCCCCATTATTAACTGCAAAATTAGCTTATACATAGCTGACTACTGGATTGGTCTTGAAATTCTTTACAGCATTTTGATGCTAAATCTCAAGTAATGTGCCTTATTCGGGATCTCATAGTAGTCATGGTAGTGATGGGGGAGGGAAGGACTTAATTTTGAAACGTTGAGGGTGTTCCTTGATGTTGAAGTAAAACCACATTTTTTCTTTCTTTCATTTTTTTGGAATTTAAGGTTTCTGAACAGCGTGAATGTTGCCCAAAATGTGGAAAAGAGAAAGAAAATCAGTCCAAATGCCAAAGTTGTGGTATTAGTTTTCGTAATGATTTACAAAGAAACTGCAGACAAGCTATAACTTTAAATGAACCTACTGGACTATTATTAAGAACGTCGATACATCAGAATTCTGGAGGACAGAAGTCACAAAACATAGGATTAACAACCAAGAAGTTTTATGGTAACAGTGTGGAAAAAGTTCCAATTGATATTATTGTGAATTGTGATGATAGTAGAAATAATTATTTACAGACTAATGGAAAAGTCATTTTACCTGGGACAAAAATACCCAAAATCACAAACTTGAAAGAAAGAAAAACAAGCCTGTCAGACCTAAATGACCCAAGTAAGTATTCACTCCCTCTTCCCCGCTTTTTTGATTCAAACTCCTAGGTTCAATAATTCTCTTATACCTCAGCCTCCTTAGTAACAAGTACAATTGGCATACACTATCACACCTAACATAATTTTACTCTTTTTAATATTGCTATATCTATCTAATACTTTCTATATTTTGTTTTAAATTTGTGAGCATGTTTCAGAAGTATAGTCTCAGTGTATCTTTGTGCCAGTTATGTAATATTTTGGGGAGTTAAAACATGTCCTCACAGGGCTGGGGTTGTGGCTTAGTGGTAGAGTGCTTGCCTAGCATGTTTGAGGCACTGGGTTAAATTCTCAGCACCTCATATAAATAAATAAGGTAAAGGTCTATTGACAACTAAAAGAAAAAAAAATTTTAAATGTCCTCACAATTGTGAAAATAACTGACTTTGTTCGTCCTATCCATCTTCTATTATTATTTTTTAATTCATTCTAATTATTTATACATGACAGTAGAATGCATTTGACACATTGTACACAAAGGGATCACAATTTCTCATTCCTCTGGCTGTACATGGTGCAGAGTCACCCCAGTAATATAATCATACATGTATATAGGGTTATAATGTCCATCTCATTTCATAGTCCTTCCCACCCCCATACCCCTTTTCCTCCCCTCACTCCCCTCGGCCCAATCCAAAGTCCTTTGCCCCTCTCCCCCAACTCCCCACCATTATAGATCAGCATCCAATTATCAGAGAAAACATTTGATCTTTGGTTTTGGGGGTTTGGCTTATTTCAGTTAGCATGATTTTCTCTAACTCCATCCATTTACCTGCAAATGCCATAATTTCATTCTTTTTAAAGGTTGAGTAATATTCCATTGTGTATATATACCACAGCTTTTTAAAAAAATAATTTTTAGTTGTAGATGGACAAAATATTTATTTTTATGTGGTACTGAGAAACCAAGTATCTCACATGTACGGGGCTATGGGGCAAGTGTTCTGCCATTGAGCTACAGTCCCAGCTCCATACCACAATTTCTTTATCCCTTCATCTGTTGAAGTGCATCCAAGTTGGTTCCATAGTTTAGCTATTGTGAATTGAGCTACTGTAAACATTGATATGGTTGCATCACTTTGGCTATAAACTGAGGTGTCCTTTGGGTATAAACTGAGGAGTGGGTTAGCTGAGTCAAATGGTGATTCCATTCCAAGTTTTTTAAGGAATCTCCATAGTGGTTGCACCAATTTACAGTCCCACCAGCAATGTATGAGTGTACCTTATTCCCCACATCTTTGCCAACACTTGTTGCTTATATTCTTGATAATTGCCATTCTGACTGGAGTGAGATGAAATCTTAGAGTAATTTTGATTTGCATTTCTCTAATTGCTATAGATGATGAATATTTTTTCATATGTTTGTTGATTAATTGTATTTCTTCTGTGAAGTGTCTGTTTAGTTCCTTAGTCCATTTATTCATTGGGTTATTTGGTTTTTTTAAGTCTTTTGAGTTCTTTATATGCCTGGAGGAGATTAATGCTTTATTGGAGGTGCATGTACTAAAGATTTTCTCCCATTCTGTAGGCTCTCTCTCCATGTTATTGATTGTTTTCTGGGGCTGAGAAGAAGTTCTTTAGTTTGAATTCATCCCATTTATTGATTCATGATTTTACTTCTTGTGCATTAGGAGTCTTTTTAAGGAAGTCAGGTCCTAAGTCAGCCAACATGATGAATATTTGGGCTTACTTGTTCTTCTATTAGGCACAAGGTCTCTGTTCCAGTCTTTTTTTTTTTTTTTTTTTAAAGAGAGAGTGACAGAGGAGAGAGAGAGAGACAGAGAGAATTTTTAATATTTATTTTTCAGTTTTTGGCAGACACAACATCTTTGTTGGTATGTGGTGCTGAGGATCGAACCCGGGCCGCACGCATGCCAGGCGAGCGCGCTACCGCTTGAGCCACATCCCCAGCCCTCTGTTCCAGTCTTTGATCCACTTTGAGTTGATTTTTGTGCAGGGTGAGAGACAGAGGTTTAATTTCATTTTGCTACGTAGGGATTTCCTGTTTTCCTAGCTCCTTTTGTTGAATAGGCTGTCTTTTCCCAAATGTATGTTTTTGGCATCTTTGGGGAGATCACATGTCTAGTATGAGATAACTGTATTTATGTGGGTTTGTCCCTCTGTGTTCTATTTTGTACCATTGGTCTATATGTCTATTTTGGTGCCATTCCCATGATGTTTTTGTTACAATAGCTCTGCAGTATAGTTTAAGGTCTGGTATTGTGATACCTCCTGCTTCATTCTTCTTGCTAAGGATTGCTTGGCTATTCTGGGTCTCTTATTTTCCAAATGAATTTTATGATTGCCTTTTTTAGTTCTATGAAGAATGTCATTGGGATTTTATAATAAGAATTGCATTAAATCTGTACAATACTTTTTGGTAATATGACCATTTTGACAATATTAATTCTGGCTACCCAAGAGCATGTCATCCCATCCATCTTAAGTTCTAGAGAGCACAGGCTTGACCCCAGTTGTAGGGTCAAGTGCTACTTATGCCCAGTTTTCTGACTTGGATCAAGTGTTCCCACTGATAATGGGCTGTTTGGGGTTTGTTTGTATTTTGGTACAGGGGATTAAACCCAGGGCACATTACTGCTAAACTACATCACCAGTTCTTTTTATTTTGAAACTGGGTTTCACCAACTTGCTGAGGTTGGCCTCAAACTTGCAGTCCTCCTACCATAGCCTACTGAATGATTGGGATTACAAACATGTGCCATTGCACCTTGCCCACTGATGGTGGTTTTAAGGGAATAAATACCATATAAATGCCACATAAGCATAGCTCAATAAAATATTTGACAAACAGGACTCAGTAAAAAGTGTTCCTCCCTTAAAAGTTTATCCTGTCTTTGGACATGTGCACGCATTTTTATTTTGTAAAAAATAATAGCAAAAATTGAAAACAATGAGACTGGTAGAAATTATAGACTATGTAGCTGTAGAGACAGAAGGGGAGATCACATGTAAAGTGTAATTTTCCAAGATCTTTAAGTGAATAAAGCAGGTACAAACAAGATTGTATGGTGCAGGGATGAATAGTTGTTACATAGATTAACAAAATTAATAAAAAAAATATTTGTTGAATGAGAGGAAACAGACACTGGAGATGGATGTTAGATTTCTCCAAATAGAAATTGTTTTGTTGATTTTACTTAGGAACCATGTAAATATTTTACATAATTATAAAATGAAATTACATATAAAATTTTTTAAAGCATAATTTAAGAAATTAATTTAATTGTATTTTGGTAGCTTGAACATATTGTTTCAGATGAGTTTAAATTGAAATAATATGGTGTGTATATCTAATGATTTTAAGGTTAAGCAGAACTTCACAGAAATCCTAAGTCTATTCAGTAATATTGTTATTAACAACATTGGTATTGGGGCTGGGATTGTAGCTCAGTGGTAGAGCGCTTGGCTTGCACTTGTGAGGTCCTGGGTTCAATCCTTAGCACCACATAAAAATACATAAATAAAAATGATGATATTGTGTCCACCTACAACTAAAAAAAAATTAAAAAAAAACAATATTGGTATTGTTTTTTATAAACACATGTATATGAATAAAAGAAATAATTATATTATTGTTTCAGTGTTAGAAAAAAAGAAATATTAAAGTAAAATCAAGGAATCCAAAGTCCTAAAACTTTACATTTGAATTGGAGATAATGTGAATTTATTATATATTTAATTTTAAACATAAAATACATGTATCCTAACTTTACCTTTAGAAAGTACTTATGGTACACACCTGTAATCCCAGCAGTTTGGAAGGCTGAGGCAGGAGGATCGTAAGTTCAAAGGCGGCTTCAGCAACTTAGCAAGGCCCTCAGCAATTTAGTAAGAACCTGTCTCTAAATAAAATATAAAAAGGGGCTGGGGGTGTGGCTTAGTGGTTGAGTGTCCCTGGATTCAATCACCGGTACCAAAAACAATATAGAAAAGGCTTAGAAATGGTAAACATCCCTGGTATAGAAACGAACATGCCTTTAAAAAAAAAGATAAAGAAAAAGAAAGAATGAACAATATTTTTAGGCACCATTTCCTACTAAAAATAACCAGAGTTGCTCAGAGAAATGACTTTATTCCAGGTTAACAGTACAAAATATGAGATAAACCTAGATTATCAGTCAGATGAGGAAGCGTGAAAGTGGTCAAAACTACTACAAAAGAACTAAAATGAAAGGACTCCCAAAGTAATGGAAGTACTTAGGTCACAAAGAGTCATTACTACTAGTCATTGAAATATTTGAATATATTAAAATCAATTAATTTATTATAATACTCCCCTTCTCTTGAAAGAAAATTTCTCCATTAGTTATCTTTCTAAGGGTCCCAAAGTGGTATTCTGAAAACTGGTAAATAAATGGAGAAATTAAGAATTTTTTTCTGTACCCCAGGAATACAAATCAAGTTTCATTTATCCCTAGCTGGGCAATGTAGGTGTAAGCCTGTAGTCCCAGATACTTAGGAGGCTGAGATAGAATGATAGAAAATTCTAGGCCAGCTTGGACAACCTAGGGAGTTCCTGTATCAAAATAAAATATGTTCAACAAAATGTTCAACATCTCTAGCAATTAGAGAAATGCAAATTAAAACTATACTGAGGTTTCATTTCACTCCAATCAGAATGGCAATTATCAAGAATACAAATAACAGTGTGGGCAAGGATGTGGGGAAAAGGATACACTTATACTTTGTTGGTGGAACTGGAAATTGGTGCAACCACTCTGGAAGGTAATGTGGAGATTCCACAGAGAAAATAGGATTGGAACCACCATTTGAACCAGTTTCCCACTCTTCAGTATATATCCAAAAGATTTAAAATCAGCTTACTGTAGTGATCCAGCCATATCGATGTTTAGAGCAGCACAATTTATAATAGCCAAAGTATAAAGCCACCTTTCAACAGATGAATGAAAAAAGAAAATGTGATATTTGTACACAATAGAGTATTACTCAGCTGTAAAGAAGAATGACTTTATGACATTTGCTGGTAAATGAATGGGTCTAGAGACTATCATGCTAAGTGAAATCAGCCAATCCCAAAAAACCAAAGGTCCAGTGTTCTCATATGTGGAGGCTAATCCACAATTAGCGGGGGAGAGAGAAGTTCAGTGAAGTCGACAGGAATAACAGGAAGAGAGGAAATGGGAAAAGGAAAGACAGTGGAATGAATATGACAAACTTTGCTATATACATATATAAATATAGTACAATAAATCTCAATGTTGTGTACATACACAAGAAATTAATTAAAAAATAATAATTATGAGTAAATGGCAGAAAGAGTGGAGAGAAGGAAGGGGAAGGAGAGGTACTGGGGTCTGAATTTGTGCTTGTATAATTATGTCAAAATGGATTCTACCATCGTGTACAACTAAAAATAACCAAGAAAAAAGAATTAAAAAGGGCAAGGGATGTAGCTCAGTGGTAGATTGCTTGTCTAGCATGCATGACTCCCTGGGTTCAGTCCCTAATACCAAAATAATGAAACAAAACCAAAAATATCCTCAACCCATATTAGTGTGAAGAGGAGGGAGGGTGTTATTTTTTGGTAAGTCACAGAATAGACGTCTTCTAGCTCAGAATGAAATGAGCAGAAAGAGTTGGGGGGAGGTGTGAAGAAGTTTAGAGTATAAGCCCAGAGAACCCTGTATTAGACTGCTCAGGCTGCCATAAAGAATACCCAGAGGGCTGGGAATGTGGCTCAGGCGGTAGCCCGCTCGTTCGATCCTCAGCACCACATACCAACAAAGATGTTGTGTCTGCCGAGAACTAAAAAATAAATATTAAAAATTCTCTCTCTCTCTCTCTCTCTCTCTCTCCTCTCTCACTCTCTCTTTAAAAAAAAAAAAAAAAAAAGAATACCCAGAGTAGGTGTCTTTTAATTTGTTTTCTCACAGTTGTGGAGACTAAAGTCCAAGATCAAGGGTTGAATTGTAGGTTTAAAGAACTGCCCTTATGGGAACTCATAATATAAATTATGAATTTTCTTTATGATTTTAGTCATTTTGTCCAGTGATGATGATGATGACAATGACAAGAATAACAGAAGAGAGAGCATATCTCCTCAACCTGCTGACTCAGCATGTTCTTCCCCTGTACCATCCACTGGAAAAGTAGAAGCAGCACTAAATGAAAATATCTGCAGAGCAGAGCATGAACTAAGAAGCATTCCAACAGAATCAGAATTGAATACAGTTACATTGCCAAGAAAAGCAAGAATGAAAGATCAGGTACTTTTCACACTTGTTGGTTGACTTGTTTGTTCAGATCAACATTTTCCTGCTAGGATGTAAATATTTTCTTGGAGGGCAATTTGACAGTTCAGTAGAAGAAAAAAATTGATTATTTAGTAATCGAGACTTTAAAGCTACTTGGAAAGTCATTTCAGAAGACATTAAACAGTGTAAAGATAAGATTCATTAAACTAAAGGCTCAAGTATAAAAATTCAGCAAGAAAAGAAGTGTTGACTAAATATAGGTTGAGTGTCTCTCTCTTTTTTTAATATTCATTTTTTAGTTTTAGGTTGACACAATATCTTTATTTTATTTTTATGTGGTGCTGAAAATTGAGCCCAGGGTCTCACTCATGCCAGGCGAGCAAGTGCACTACCACTTGAGCCTCATCCCCAGCGCCTTAGGTTGAATGTCTCTTATCAGAAGTATTTGGAACCCTAAGTGTTTCACATTTCAAGTATTTTTGTATTTTGGAGTTTTTGCATGTATATAATGAGATATCTTGGGGATGGACCCAAGTCTGAACAGGAAATTCTTTTATGTTGTATACATGCATTGTGCAGAGAACTTCCTAAATAATTTTACATAATGTGCCCATGCTTTCACTAAATCCATCACTTGAGGTCAGGTGTGTGGAATCTTCCAGTTGTAGCATGACGTTTGCATTCAAAAAGTTTCCAATTTTGGATCATTTCTAATTTTAGATTAGAGGTACTGAACTTGTATAAGGAGATTTCTTGTAAAATCTAGAAGACAGGGAAAAGTCATTTTAACTTATTTGCATTTTACTATAATGTAATTATATTTACTTTCTACTATAGGAAAAATTTCAAGATGTTCCCATGGAAAAGTAACAAATTTATAAATGAAAGATACACTGAGAAATATTTGAAATGCAGATGACATAAAACTTTAATGCATATAATAGACTTTTTTTTTTTTTTAAAGTTAGTGGATAGAAAGAAAATAAAGGCTAGGAATAGACAAAGAGAATATTCAGACACTACACCACCACATGAAAAGTATAAATTTAGTAAGGAAGTATAAATTAAAGAAAATAAAATATTGTAACTATATACTAAACAGACTAGCAAAATTAATTGCAAATCAATTCAAAATGATATGTACTGCTGGTGAAAATTCAAGGGAAAACATACGTTACTAATTTGCTTATAGTAAAGAAAGTTACAGTGTCCTTTGGGGAAAGCAAAGTAAAAGCATACTAAAAAATCTTAACCATATACTTTTTTAAAAAAGATATTTTTTTTAGTTGTAGATGGACACAATACCTTCATTTTATTTATTTATTTATTTTCATGTGGTGCTGAGGATTGAACCCAGTGCCTCACACGTTCTAGGCAAGCACTCTACCACTGAGCCACCACCCCAGTCCCTTAAACATACACTTTCAACCAAATAACTAAATCCCTAAAATCCTTCTTAAAGGAATTCCTGCCCCCTCTCCAGTTTGTAAGGCTATATGTACAAGCATGATTAATGTATTAACAAACAACTGCAAACAAAATCATTGTCCATTAGTATGGATATGAATGAAGAAGTTATGGTATAACTGTTTGAAGCAGCCATTGAGAGTAAAAGTTAAAACTCTATCAATAACTTTTAGAATTTCTATACAGTACTGTTGAATAGGAATATCCCCCCAAAAAGAACATTTGTTATAAAATAAAATCTTATATGTTAAAAAATGACATATTTGCATAGATATGTCAGGGTTCAGAGGAAAATACTTGGACTTGGTTCAGATGGGAACCTGAAACCCTGTGCAGTGGCACATACCTGTAATCCCAGCTACTGGGGAAGCTAAGGCATGAGCATCTTGAGTTTGAGGCTCGCCTGGGCAACTTAATAAAACCCTGTCTCAAAATGAAATTTTAAAATGAGCTGGTGATATATCTCAGTGGTAGAGCAGCCCTTTTTAAAATTTCATTTTGAGATAGGGTTTTATTAAGTAGCCCAGGCTTAAGTTTTATTAAGTTCCCCAGTACCACCAAAAAGGAAAAAAGGCTACAGGCTGAAGAAATGAAAAAACTACTGTAAGGATATATTTTTATATAATCTTAGGAAATGCCCTTCTAAAGATGAGATAAAATTTATTTAATTAATTGAAAACCAAACATAAGTGTTCCAAAATACCATAAATAGAATTGGATAGGTAAATGCAAATGAGGATATAGGGAATTATTTGACAAAGTGTAAATTGATCTTTTGTGTGTTAATTTTTTAAAAGCCAAGAAATAGAAACAAACTATTGAAAAGTGAATAAAGAAAATGAATGAATTTCAATCAAGGTAGTAATCAAAGTAGAGAATATGAAATTAAAGTAACCTTTTGTTAACTATCCAGATTGCTGAAAATTTTAGAAGTATGACAGGGTCTCTTGGTTAATGTTTGAAGATGTGAGATGTTGGGTTTGTAGATGGTTATAACTTTGCTGGAGGGCAATTTGGCAATAATTCTAAATATGTGTATGTAGTGAGCTGTAGAAATGCTCATTGGAGATAGAAGTCAGATGTTCAACGTAGAAGCAGTTCAGTTAAATAAATAATGGATTTCCGTATGGTAGAATTTTTAGTTGAATAGTTTTCAGACTGATGCATTGAACCATACATAAGTGTTCTCCAGTACTCTTCTTAGAAAGAAGAGATAAATACTCTGTGGAAGCAAATGGAACACTCAGATTCTAGATTTAATGACTTTACTATGGGATTCAGCTGGAACAGCTCTTAAATTATCTGCTTTATTTATTTCTTTCATTGGAAAACATTATACTAAAACTAAATAAGTGAACTGTCAAACCTGTCTAATGGGTTTCCATTAATAATTTGGCATATTCTTGATAAATAGTTGGTAAACCTTGTGATAAACTCTTAGTAAACCTGAAAAATCAGTTTACAAAATCATAGAGATATATATGATAATCACATTTGGTTTTATTTCTTTTTTATTTATTTTTAGCACACATAAGACTTACTAATGGAGTACCATGTGATGTTCCAGTATATATGAACATTGTATAGTTTTTAAATTAGGTTAAACATGTCTATGTCTTATCTCCTAAAACATCTTTTTCTTTATGGTGAGAACCTTGGAAATTCTTTATTCTAGGTTTTTGAAATGCATCTAGGTTGTGTTATCATTTGTAGTCATCCCACTATGCAGTAGCAAACCAGAACTGTTTTTACTCCTAACCATATCTTAGAACTCACTGACTAACCTTTCCCAATAATACTCTCCCTAGCCTCTGCTAACTATTATTCACTATAATTTTCTATGAAATCAGCTTTCTGTGTGCCAGATATGAGTAACATTCAGTGGTTTTATGTGCCTGTCCTATTTCATAAACAGCCCCGCATGATGGGAAATGCCTCATAATCCCAGTGGCTTATGAGGCAGACACAGAAGGATCACAAGTTCAAAGCCAGCCTCAGCAATTTAGTGAGGCATTCTTCAACTTAGTCAGGCTCTCAGCAACTTAGTGAGATCCTGTCTCAAAAAATTAAAAGGGCTAAGGATATGGCACAGTGGTTAAGTGCCCCAAGTTCAGTCAAGAAAGTAAACAACCATAACAACATAATGATTTCCAGATCTATCCATATTGTAGCAAATGACATAATTTTTTTCTTTTTTTCTGGCTGAATAATATGTCATTGTGTATGTGTACCACGTTTATCCATTTATCAGCTGATGAACACTTAATGTGTTTGTATTTCTTGGCTGCTGTGAATAGTACTATGACAAATAAAATAGTACCTGCTAGGCAGATGTCTCTTCAACATGCTAATTTCATTTTCTTTGAATAGATATTAGTGAGTGGGATTTCTGTATTATATGTAGTTTATTTTCAGTTTTTCAAGGAATTTCTGTACTGGTTCCATAATGGCTACGCAGATTTACATTTCCACCAACAGTCTACAGTTTCCCTTTTTCCATATCCCTGTTCTCACTTACAATCTTTTAAGTCTTTTTGATGATAGTTCTTCTTACTGGAATAAGATGATATCTCATTATGATTTTGATTTTTATTTCCCTGATAGCTAAGGATAATGAGTATTTTTTAATATAAATAAACCTGTTGGCATTTTGCATGTCATCTTTGAGAAATTTCTGTTCAGGTCTATTGCCCAGTTATCAATTGGAATATTTGGGTTTTGTGTATTTATTTTTGATTTTGTTGTTGAGCTATTTGAATTCCTTAGATTCTGGATATTGACCCCTTATTGATATATAGCTTGCAGGTACTTTCTTCTGTTATTTAGGTTACTCTTTGCTCTGGTAATAGGTTTATTTATTTTTTATTTTTATTTTTTGCTGTGCAGAATCATTTTAGTGTGAAAGCCCATTTATTTGGTTTGGCTTCTATTGCCTGTGCTTTTGGGGTTTGTCCAAAAAAATTCTTACCCATTCCAGTATCCTGAAGCATTTTTCTTTTTTTTTTTTTTGCTAGTTTTATAGTTTAAGGTCTTAAATTTTGATTGTGAATACATTTTGAGCTAATTTTTGTATATGATTTAGACATAGGGGTTTAGTTTCATTCTTCTGCTGTTACCATTTATTGAAGAGACTATCTTTTTTTTAGGGTGTGTTTTTAGCCCTTCTATCTAAAATTGGCTGGGCATGTTGGTGCATATCTGTAAACCCAGCAGCTTGGGAAGCTGAGGCAGGATGATCATGAGTTCAAAGCAAACTTCAGCAACTTAGCAAGGCCCTAAGTAACTCATTGAAACCCTGTCTTTTCTTTAAAGGGCTGGGGATGTGCCCCTGGATTCAATCCCTAGTGCATACATACACACAAAACACACACACACACACACACACACACATGCCTATAGAAGCAAGGGTTTATTTCTAGGCTCTTGATTGTATTTTCATTAGAATATGTGTATGTAGTGTGTGTGTTTTGCTAGGGATTGAACCCAGGTGTTGTACCTGTTAGGCTAGCAGTCTACCACTGAGCTACATCTGAGCCCCAAATGTCTATACCATGATGTTTGATTACTGCAACTTGAGTATAATGCCTCCTGCTTTGTTTGGCTGGGATTGTGGTTTAGCGGTAGAGCGCTCGTCTAGCACTTGCGATGTACTGGGTTCCATCCTCAGCACCACATGCATCACATATAT